CTCTGGTGAATCCCCTCACTGCCCCTGCACCTCTGGCCTGTACCCCAGTTCTGTATGTGTAAATAAATAAATCTGAAAAAATAATACAATCCTGATAAATGAATATGTAAATTCCAGTTTTGGTATCATGTTCCCTGCTCTAATTTCTAGAAAAAAGATTCTTAACCTTTGAGGATATCGGAGTGCTTTTGAGAATCTGGAAAAAGCTAGTCTTCTCTTGAGAAAAGTGCAAATCTGCAGACAATAATGGAGGTACTCTGGGGGTGGGGGCCTGGCCTTGGTCCTGGGTCCAGCTGCCCGTGCTAAGTGAACAAGCTGTGAAATCCGGAGCTAATAACCATTCTGACTTGCTCAGGGCACAGGACTTCCAGTGCTGAAACCTGGAATGTTCTGAGAAAATCAGGATGAGCTGGATTCCCTCAAAGGAGATTCCATTACAGGGCTGGTGTCCCCCAGACCCCAAACCTGTGCAGCAGGAGCCGGTCAAAGTGTAACTGCCGGGGGTCCAGCTCCAGTTCTGGGCGGATCCCCTGGCAGCTTAGCTTGAAAAGAGTTGGCTCTGGGTTCTCCTTGATGCAGCAGACAATGCTGTCTTCGAAGACCCCCACTGCTGTGGGGTAGGCCCACACGTTCAGTATCTAATGGAAGTGGCAACAGCAAAGAAAAGTTACCCAGAGGATGCCAAGGTCTCGAATTTCCTGAGGACACCAGGCCCTGGGGGACTTGTTTCCACAGGACTGTACCTGCTTCTCGTTGGGTCTCAGGGTCATGTTGATGGGCTCCAGGAAGTAAGTGTTTGCTTTGACATCATTCTGGAAACAGAAGAATGCCTCCACGAGCAGCGGGGAGTTGTTCAGGATCGTTAGTGTTTCCATGTTGTCTGGGAACAGGGATGACTTGTACCTGGACAGGAACAAAAACGAGGGGGGTGGGTGTGAGGCCTGACTGCCCTGGGCCTCCTCCGTCTCCCCGTCCCGCCCTGGGCCTCTTCCGTCCCCCCCAAACTGCCCTGGACCTCTTCTGTCCTCCCATCTCCGTCACACTCAAGCTTTTCCAAAGATCTATCCTCACAGCCTGTCTTTACTTTCTCAACTCCCACTGACTCAACTCCTTACTTGGGCTTCATCCTCAAAAGTGCCCCTAAGAGGGCTTCTGCTGAGGCCCCCGTGCGAAGCCCTGTGGGTGTCAGTCCTGTCCACTGCACGCACTCAGTACGACTGGCCTCTGCTGTGCTCATGACCCCATCCTGGCTCCAGCAATGGCACTGACCCTCTTTCTCATTGCTGCCTTCTCTTGCGAGTGGTGAAGTCTTCCAGGCTCCCTCCTCAGTCCTTCTCTCCTTGCTATGTTTTCTCTTCCGTGACCATCTCATCCACCCCGTGGCTTTTGCTTCCTTGAACGCACCTGTGTACCCCAGTCCCTGTTTCATGTGGCTACTAGTGGTATCTTCCAAGCTCCTCAAACTTAGCACAACTCAAGTGAACTCTTCATCCGGCCCTTTCCCTAGTGAAACCTGGCCCTCTTTCAGGCTTCCCGTCTGAGAAAACGATGCTCTCATTCATATGGGTGCTCAGAAACCCAGGGCACAAGAACCCAGCGCTCCTGGTCTGAGGTTCAGGCCACATGGAGGCGCCTCAACAGAGGCCTCTTGATGAGTCCAACCCAGGAGTCTGAACTCTGTTTTGAAATAGTGGATCACTTACTTATCTCTGGATTTCCCACAAAGCAGTGGCCCAAAGTAAAATTTGTCCATGCTTTTAACATACTTCTTAAAGACGATCTCGTTTTTCTTCATGTCCTGCTGCCGCTGGGGAAACACCACTCTGTATGGGGCAGGGAAAGAAGGACACGAGTCAGGGCTGCACAATGCAGCGTCAGTCTCCCAGAGTCACCAGGACCCCGCGCCCCCATTCTTCACTGGAGGCCTTTTACTGAGTCTTCACTCCCATGCCCCCCATCCCTGCTCAGAGTGATGACAGCCCAGCTGGAGCTTGAGGGAAAAACGACTTCTGCACGTGTCTTTCATCGGAAGGCACTGATGACAGGGTGGAGCTGGACTTCCCGCTCTTTGTGGCCAGCTAGGGAGCCTAGATCTGGCGGGTATTAACTAACTTCTGAATTTCTTGCCCAATGTGGACCCTTGGTGAGAACCACCAAAGGGGTCTTCTGTTGGGCAAACTATATAAAGGTCACCCCAGTAGCCTGCTTTTTCATTAATCTTGGGCATTTATGTCACGCGTTAGGGACACAGTGTTGGTGGGTCACGCAGGAAAAAGCCCTCTTGTGAACACGTTTCACATTAGGGGATAAAACGCCCTACAGAAAATATAACATGTCTCCACGGCTTATATATAAATAAGTAAACTAAGCTGTCAGAGGAAAAAATCACCTCTCCCTCAACACCTATTGAACACCTGGTTAAGTGGCCTCACAGAACCACTTCATCCCTTAGTCAGTGCCCAAGACTGAGGCCCAACACAGCATGAGTTAGGGGCTGGACCAGTTCCACAATGGTATGGGCGATGGGGGGCGATGGAACAGTGTCCCCCAACCTTTTCTTCTACAGTGAAGTACACTCACTTTGGGTCTTGGCAAATGTACGGGTAACTGCAGACACCTCGGCAATAAAGCTGGTACTGGCGGTGAGTTCCAAGGATCTCGAAGTTGAATGTTTGGTCGAAATTCCCTAAATCATTAGAACTGAAGTGTATGCGCAAAGTCACCTCGCTGTTGGCTGGTATGACCCACCGGAAATGACTCAACCTGCAAAGGACAGCACAGGTAGCAGGCTTCCTTCCCGCCAGAGGAGACGCACCACGGCTCGGGGGGAGCCCTGTCCAGCTGGGGCATGGGCAGGCCAGCCCTGCTCCGCTCTGCTGCTGTGACATCTGTCCCCTCAATCGGGGCCCCCAACCCCGCACTGGGTTGCTCGGTGGCCCACCTGATGAACTTCTCCTGGGAGTACTGCCCTGAGATGCTCTGCTCTATGTCCGACAGGGGGGCGATGCTTCCGGAAGTTCCCCCAGAAAGGCCCTTCCTGTTGGGAGGGCGGCGCTTGTCCTTCAGCTCACGGTTTGTATCAATTTTTTCCTTCACTTTCTGTTTGAATCCTTTCGCCGAGGAAGTCTGCTCCTCCTGAGTCTTAATTGCAAAGGAATGTGAGTTCTTACAATACTGCTCTTACACACATGGACAGAAGACACCCAGGTGCCCGCAGTGCCTCTGCAGTCTGGCACGGGCAGTGCCTGGGTACAGGATGCTGGCAGCTGTCTTGAGCAGAGCAGAGCCCAGCCTGCCATGTGGGTGAGCACCCAGCTCCCTGAGGACGAGACAGGAATCCTAGAGGAGGCTGGAGGCCTGCAGGGGGTGTGTGCTTGCATTACGTTTTGGACTTTAATCTCAAGGGGGCTATGGAGGCCCCCTTGCCCCCTCCTGCTCACACTGACATTTGGGGAGACACCAGATTGGTGTTCTTATAGAACATCCCGCAGTTTGAACATCTATGACTACTCTCTCAGGGTCATGTAACTTATTCATTTCCTGTAAAAGAAAGAGGCCTGAGGCTTGAGCCGCCTCCGAGGGGTGCTGTGCATGTCACCTTGTCCTGTTGCAGTGGGGACAGATACCACCAGCTGACCTGCCCGACAGATGCAGAGTATGGGGGTGAGCGCGGTGGGGTGCAGCCTGCCGCAGCTGGCCATGAGCAAGCAGACACTCCCCTGCAGCTGGCTGCCCCTGCCTCCCTGCCCCCCCCCCCCCCCGGGCCACATTGTATTCTCGGGCTCAGAGTTCCACCGCCTTCCACAGATGGCCCTTTGTACGGTCCTGGACCTTCAATCGCCACTTTACTGGGGAGCCCTGGCTGGCACTTTCACAGTCCACCTTTCTGCTGTAATGTTAGCTGCTGCTCTCAGAATGAGCTTTCCTTTGTGAAAGAGGGGCAAACTAGAGTTCCTCCTAAGATGAGGAGAATGCTCCGCTCTTTGCTCTGAATGGCCAATGTCCAGAACGAGAGGTTGGTGAAATGCCAGCTGTGATGGAGGCTGTTTCCCCCTTTTATCTTGTTATAACTTGGGCTCTGCTCCTGGGAGGCTCCCCGAGTGCCCCTCACTGCAGGCGCTGGCTTTCTGCTTATCTGTAAGCCGAGATTTGGGGAGGACACTGTCACCGACAGGACTCCCAGGTGAGTTATTTGTTGCCAGTTTTATTTATTTTCTGTTGATATGCATGATTTGTAAGCTATTGTGTGTGTGGAGGCAAATTTTTGGGTCACTACACCCCTCTGAGAATAAAAAGCCCTGCTGTAGTTTTTAGTAGAGAAATCTGCATCTTACTGTGGGTCTATTTTCCTTTGTGACTTATTAATTTGTGTGTGTGTGTATCTTACATGATTTTTCATTTTGATTAGTTCTCTCTTTAATCCAGTTGGAGTTAATTTAACTGTATTGAATCAGTAGAGGAGATAAAAGGCGATTTCCCCCAAAGTATCCAATCCTCCTATCAAAGTTTAATACGGTCTTTCCTGGGGCCTCCCTGGTGGCACAGGGGTTAAAGTATCAATGCTGTCAAGCTATTGCCAGCCACTGTGGCGTGATCCCCAGCCAGGGAGCTGACCCACATGGTGCAGCAGACCTTTTCTGTCTCGCCTACTGCTCAGCAGTATATTTCGGTAGATTCACCTGTTTTGTTCCCCCCACACCTCTGGCCTACACCCCAGTTCCTGTATGCATAAATAAATATTAAAAATTGGTCTTTCCCGGGGCCCTCCCTGGTGGCGCAGCGGGTTAGAGCACAGCACTAAGAAGTTTAAGCAACTTCCGCATGAGTTCGATCCCCGCCTGCCCCGGAGGAGATCCACATGGCGCGGCAGACCTCTCCTTACCTGCCCGCTGCTCCCCTCAGCAGTGTACTTCATCAATCTGCCTGTTCTGCTCCCCACTCTGTCTCTGGTGAATCCTCTCACCCTCCACATCTCTAGCCTGTACCCCAGTTCTGTTCGAATAAATAAATAAATCTTTAAAAAACAATTGGTCTTTCCCTAGAGCTGTTTGCATACCCTTACCTTGTGTTTGTTGATTCTTGTATTCTATGTACTGTGTGAATTACCTTGACTTCACAACACATGCTGGTATCTTTTATAAAGAGCCAGTTTTGCTGATTTTTTCTCGCAGGTGAGCTTCAGTTCCCTAAGCCCTCAGGGACTAGAAGTTCAGAATCAGTGCTTTTCAGGAACCCCTTGGGAAACTAGGAAAAGCCAGCCCTGGGGAAGGTGACATCCAGGCTGGACTCCCCCAGAGTGAGGGAAAACACTGCAGCATGCGTGATGCCCAACGTCTGGCCATGTGGAGGGGCCCCCAGGTCCCACAGGATCAGGCCCCACAAGGGGAGCAGGGTGACTGCTCCTTACCTTCGTAGAGCCCCCGAGGTTTGAAAGCTCCGTTTCTGTATCCGGGTCTCTCTTCTCCTCCAGGGAGGAGAGATCATCGGATGGTGGAATTATGAATACAAAATGCTTTAGGATTTCCGTCGTGGCCAAAGGCAGCCTCTTCATGGGGTAGGAGACAATTGAGAATAAAGTGGGAGGCGGGATGGGTGGCCCGGACGAACCCAAACCCAGGATGTCGAGGATCTAAAGGAAAAGCCTGTGGTTAATTTCCTCGCGGAGGGCACAGCACAGCCTTTCACTTTTCCTCCCAACACTCCTGAAAGACACACTGCAGAGCGCATGTACCAGGATTATGTTCTACACTCCCTGCACCCCCTTGCCCAGCCCCGTCGCTTTATTGTGCCTGCTTGATTGTTTGTCTCTGCGGCTGCACTGTAAACTCCATGAGGATGCAGGTCAGCAGAGCACACGGCCCAGCTCGCAGGAGCACTCAAGAAATCTCTGCTTAATTTACAGAATCCAGCTCTCAAGGTTCTGATGTTAGCATGACAGTCATTCCATCTGTTTCAGACCCCAGGTGAATTTTTCTTTTATCTTTAAATGTTCATTCCTTCCAAAGGTAAACGAAAGATAGCTTGCAAGCTGGTCAAATACAGCAAAGAAAAAGGGAAAAAAGCAAAGGTTCTGGGAGTGGGATAAAGATGAGAACAAACAGAGAAATCACAAAGAAAATCGAGAGAGAAAATGAGTTCTCTGGCCTTCTATTCTACTCTGATACATGATGTGCATTCTCCGAAGCACCTCAGAACTTAGGGCCTGAGAGCTCAGCAGCAACTTCCTTTCCGCCGTGCAAAACTTCAGAAGGAGGAAGCTATCCCGAGATTAACTGCTGTCATGACAGCAGTGAGTGCCTGGGCAACTGACGGGGCCTCCCGACAGGGCTGCTGCTTCACAGTCCTGCCTTGAGTTCACCTCTGAGGAATGCAGCAGCCTTCTTTATTATTATTTTTTTTCCAGAAATTTATTTTTTGAAAAATAAGAGTCAGACCCAGCAGCTGACTCTCGCATGTCGTCCCACGTATGTAATCCTGCAGGTCGGGAGCTGTGACACGTCCTGACGACTGTGTGGCTGGTGGGTACTGCCGGGACCCAGCATGTCTGTGAGGGAGGGTGAGTAATCTGTACCAATCCTGCAAATTAATAGAGCTTGGTGGTTCTTTAAGCCATGTCTAACCCATGGCTTGGAACGAGGAGAGTATAAAAAACAAAGCCAAAGAGATGTTTGGCTACTGTATTAGGACATAAATGAGATGAGGTGTTCTTTTTCAAAAAATAAATTTCTGAAATAAAATAATAAAAAAGAAGGCTGCATTCCTCAGGGGTGAACCCGAGGCAGGACAGTGAAGCAGCGGCCCTGTGGGGAGGCCCCAGCCCCCTCCACACTGTTGGGAGACTCACTGTGAGGTGACATCCCGTCGAAACCTGTCCTCTGGGGAAGCATCCCGACACCCAGCACACAGTTACCTCTCTCGGGCTACGCGCTCTGCTCCTTACGTTGTGTCTGACTGCTGGTCAGCTTCGCCAGAGGACAGCAAGCTGTGGCCCTGGTCAGACCTGGCTCCCCACTGTGTTTGTAAGTGAGGTGCCGTGTCTGTCTTCCAGTTGCTGAGTGGCCACAGACGCTATGGCATGCAGTCAAAAAGATGTGATCTCTGGTCTTTTATAGAAAACATCTGTCTGTGGGCAGAAGGCTATCTAAGCAGCCCGGGGCGGGGGAGTGGGGGTGGACGGCCCAGGTGACTTTAGGCAACACTTTGGTTTCTAGAGACAACAACTATCAGGAAGTCTCGTTTCAGACACTATGGGGGACTTGTTGGGGAAAAGATTTTAGAGTAGTGGAACCTCTTGCTTCATGCCAAAGAAAGCAGACCAGCCTTGACAGGGAGTAGTGCCAAAAGCATCGTCAATGTTACAAATCAACTGTTCTGCATGCATACATAAATAAAAAAAAACAGCTGTCAGTGGAAGACGCGGTGGGGCACTGGCAGGAGAGGTGAGGCAGCAATGAGTGGGTGGGCCGGCTCTTCTGGAGGGGAAAGGAGGAGATGGGGCCAAGCCCTGAAGAGGCAATTCAGACATTGAAGGAGACGGAGGAAATACTGGCCAAGAAACAGGAGTTTCTGGAGCAGAAGATTCCACAGGAGCTACCAACGGCTAAGCAGCATGGGCCCAAAAATAAGAACGGGGCAGTGACAAGGAGGATGAACTGCAGGCTGACGTCCCAGAACAGCCGGAAGGGGCCTGAGATGCTATCTGCAGGCCTGCAGACTCTGAGATGATGTGGATGAGCTACTGGAGGATGAACTACTGGAGGAGCTAGAAAAAGCTGGAGCAAGAGGAATTGGCCGGGGAACTGTTAGGTGTGGACAACGAGGAGAAAGAAGCCCCTGCCGAGCTGCCCAGTGTGCCCTCTACACGTCTGCCTGCGGGCCAGCTCCCCCAGCGGGGGACGACCAAGAATTCAAGCAGCTGGCTGAGTCTGGCCTGTCGTCCTGATGCTGCCTTCATTGATCTTTTCCTAAAGTGCCAAATGAGCTAAAGGAACTGAGCGTGAAGGAACATAGCCCTTTTGGGGAGGTCCTGCCCGACAAAAGGATGTTGCTCTCCCATCCCTGGCCTAACTCCTGGTGCCGGAGGAGCCCCTGGCCCCCTTCTCTTTGATAGCTGTGACAGCGCCCTGTTCCCAATAAAATTGGACATATGGAACTTCGGGAAAAAAAAAATCAACGGTCAGGTGGCTGCTTATCAAGTTAGGTGAAATTATTTCTAGGGATTTGCATGGAGCAGGAAAGGGCCTGGTAGCCATCACTGTGTGATCTACAATGCGGGCACCAGAGATGAATGGACTTAAGGGGATGTTCATGTGGGGAGAAAAAAGGCATTTTTGTGACTGTCAGCACAGTCCCTGACACCTGTCTGGCTACATCTGCACCAGGAGAGGGGTCTGTACCTGGTCCCCTCTGGGGAGCCTGTCATTCTCCAGCAGCTGCTTCCAGTTGGAGCCCTCGAGGTCCGGCGTCTGGATGTTTATGAAGGGCACACCCACGTCCTTCTTCCCCTCGTGGTCCTCCTCCCCCTCGGCCTCCCCCACATCGCTCCGGTCCTCCTGGCGGAGCTTCTCCAGGCGCTCCTTCTCCGCCTTCTCCCGCTCCAGGCGCTCCTTCTCAGCGCGCTCCTTCTCAGCGCGCTCCCTTTCCCGGTCCTTGCGGCCTCTGCGCCCCCCGGAGGGGACCTGGCGCTGGTCCTCCTGCTCGTGGGCCACCTCCTCGGCCCCGGCGTGCGGCAGCTGCAGCCCTTGCTTCCGGTCCCAGTACGTAAGGATGCTCTGGACATCCTTCAAAGCCAACTCATAGGCCTTAAACTTCTGGGCCAGATTCTTCTCAGTGTCCTTCAAGAGGTCCCCTTCACTGTCCTCTTGATCCTGGACAAGAGGAAACCCAAGCAAGTTGCTATCTGTCTGGAGGGTCTTTCTTTTCTTGGTCAGTTCATCCTTGTCAGTCATTCCTTGGTCCCTAACAGATACTTTCCTGTCTACCGTGTCCGTCTTGGCATCTAGTTTGGAAAAAGTAAGAATCTAGGAGGCAAAACATAAAAGATGCTTAACACAGTGATTGAGGGGACAGCAAATCACCTAGGGAGCAGTGAGAGGACACTTAGCTCTTCGTAAAGACCTCCCAGGGTTCCTGGCAACTCTTAGGGTGGGGCCTAAGGAGCACTCTGAGTTCCCCCCAAATATTACTTCTATGGTCTTCCTGTTAGAGAGCTGGCTAAGGTCTGGCACTGGGCATGTTGGAAAGGGGGCAGTCTGTCGTCGTCTGTACCCACTTTCCTGGGGCTGGAGAGCCCCGTGTGGTGGTAGCCCAGGGGGTGGGGGCTCCCATCTCTGCTCCCATCTTTACAAAGGGGGAGGTAATAACCCCCAGAGGACTCCTGGTGACCACATGTGTGCGCACATGCACCAAGCTTGCCATAGCATCTGCCAGAGTAAAGGATCTGGCAATGTCACGTTACCAACACTATGCAGGTTATGTATGTGTAGAGTGGGCATTGTTGGGTACAGATGGGAGTTTTGAATCTGGCTGTGCCCCAGGTTTTTAAAAAATATACATTTTTTGGATGAACTTGGCATAGAGGAACCAACCTAGGGCTCTTGCTCACTGTCCTTTTAAACTAGCTTTAAACTAGCTTTGTGGATCCAGAGTTTCTCCTTTCCTGGGTGAAAGACCTGGGAGGCCTTTGTAGCTTTGGGGTCATTCTTGGATGATGTACAGTCTAGCGTGGTGCTGTGCTGCCTGTAGGCCCTTCCTTGGAGATAGCTTTCTTCCCTAAGGTCATGCGTGTGGGCATGGGTAACCTGGGGTCACACGCCTCCCCCACTTCTGCAGCCCTGGTACTGCCTGCAGGGGCCGCCATGACAGGGCTGGCAACACTGTCCCGTGGAGGGGGCGGTCACCATGGGTGGGTGGGGGAGCTCGGCTCCAGCTGTATCATTCTCTCTGCAGAGCCACTGCCAAGACCCCAAGAGTTCTGTCTGGATATCCTATCACACCCAGAAGTGGATCTTGCAGGAAAGGAGGGTCTGCTGCTTGGGGGATTGAGGGAGTACAGGGTAGAGCAGCCAGAGGCCAGTGCAGCTAAGTGGAACTTTTGACAGACACATGGGACTGGGGTTCAAAAGTCAGACTTCAGGCCTGCCAAGGAAACGAGTCCTGGTGAGCAACAGCCTTCATGCCTACAGTGCAGGAGTAATGTAGCCCAGCTACATAAACCTCCCTCTCCCAGGGGCTAGCTCTCCCAGCATTAAAGTCTAGTATTTGATGACCTCAACTGAATCAGGCCTCTCAGAGCTCCCAGCCTAGTTCACTGTCAGAATCAAATTCTGTGTAGAAAGAAATAGCATCATCCAGAATCTTAAGTTGCTTCTACAGCTTTTCCTGTTCAGTAATCAGGCCATCAATAAAACAATACTCTAGCACCAAAAAAGGTAAGGCTGCGTGACTAAAAACCAAGCATAAAGACAGATACGAGGGTCCTCCCTGGTGGCACAACAGTTAAAGCACTATGAAATGCTTCATAGCACTATGAAGCTGTCCTCAGCCACTGCAGCACCAGCTTGATCCCTGGCCAAGGAGCTGACCCACACGGTGCAGCAGACCTCTCCTGACCTGCTCGCTGCTCCCCTCAGCAATGAAGTTCAGTCCATCTGCCTTCTCTGCTCCCCACTCTGTCTCTGGTGAGTCCTCTCACCCCCCCCAACTCTGGCCTGTACCCCAGTTCTTATATGCATAAATAAATAAATCTTTAAAAAAAAACAGTACTAGAACAGACTCTCAGGGGAACTTATGTATTAGAACTGCTGGACAAGGTCTACTAAAAAAAAATGTGCAAAGTGTTAAAGGAATTAAGAGACAAGATAGAGAATTTTGAACAAAACTAGAAAAAGTAAGAACGGAATGAGTACTTTCTAATACAATAACAAAATTAAGAATTAAACGAAGGTTAAAATGGGAGATTAGGACTCACTGAAGAAAGACAGTGAACTAGACTGTATGTCAAAAGGAAAAAAAAAATCTAGTGTGAAGCATTACAGATACAGGACATGCTGTGAAAAGTCTGCCACGGGGGCCAACACATGCATGATGGGGCAATTCAGGGGGAGAAAAGAGAAAGAACGGAGCAGAAGCAAATTTGCAAGATTCATGGTTAACTATCTTCCAATCATCACTATATTGTGAATTTCAGAATAATGATTTTGCAAGAGTCACTATAAACCCCAAAAAGGATGAAATATAAAGACCACATCTAAACAAATCACAGTCAGTGAACATCTAAAATAAAGAAAGTATCTTAAAAGGTTCAACTAATGTCAAAGGAGCCCAATAATGCTGACAGCTGAAACAGAAGACTAAAGATAAAAAAACAAAAAAAAAGTGCTGAAAGACTTATCCTGCCTAGAAAAGCTACCCTTGAAGAATAAAGACATTTCAGGCAAACAAAATCTGAGCAGACCTGTTTGGAAAGGGCCACTAACACGAACACACCCAGGAATGCCTTTAGGCAGAGAAAAATGAGACCACTGGAAACTCAGAGTTGCAGGAAGGAATTGAGAGAAGTGAAGAGTCAGTAATGCAGGTGGATACAACAGTATTGTGCTTTAATCAATGACTGTTGTGTTTGGGCGGTATTAGCGGTGTGGTCACATACATCTGAGGAGGTGTGAATCTATGCCTCTAAGTCACAGCAGCAAGAGATAACAAGGCTTGAAGGGGTGGCTATAAAGACATCCTTACACAGCTAACAAGGTTTCCAGGAGGCCAAAACTTAATTCTATTATTCACTTATTTATTAATTCATCTATTAATTAGTTCTCATACAAGGAAACTTTGGCCGAGGGCTAATGATAAATACAAAGCCACACAGCTACGTAAGGTTAGCAGTCAGATTAGTCGAGTGTCTGGACTGACAGGTGTGTTCTCACTCCCTGTGTCCCTGACAGTGGACAGCCGCGGTTTCTTTTTTTCTCTAATTCCCTGTTCTCTCTACAGGAGAGAAGAGGCAGCGCCTCTTCCTTCATAAGGAAGCAGGTGATCCAGAACTGACCCACCACAGAATGGCGTCTTCCCGGCCAAGGTGAGTGGGTCAGAGAGTAGAATGTGCACAGGTGAGCAAAGAGGTGTAGAGGAACTCTGGTGAGCAGGAATGAGCAACCCATGAATCTACTGTCTCACACAGGCATCTAGAGACTGAATAAATATCTAGAGATTCTGGACACAGAACAAATTAGGCAGTTTTTGCAAGGGCATTGCAGCCTGGAGCCAGAAGTTGGTAAAGAATAAGCCCTCCCCCACCCTGGCACTGGCTTTATGTTGAGGAGTCATGGATAAAACCCCAACTTTCAGGCCCTCCCTGATGGCACAGCGGGTTAAAGCATAGCACTGAGAAGCTAAAGCCATTTCCGCATGAGTTCAATTCCCGCCTGCCCCGGAGGTGACCACATGGTGTGGCAGACCTCTCCTGACCCGCCCGCTGCTCCCCTCAGCAGTGTACTTCGTTGACCTGCCTGTTCTGTTCCCCACTCTGTCTCTGGTGAAGCCTCTCACCGCCCCTGAGCCTCTGGCCTGTACCCCAGTTCTGTATGCACAAATAAATAAATCTTTAAAAAAAAAAAAAACAACCAACTTTCAGCCTAGAGGAACGCAAGGAAGAAGGCAGCCAGGGCCTCTGCAGATAAAGAGAGACCCAGAGAGCCTCGGCTAGAGAAGAGGACCTCCTAATTTTGTGTACAAACATTCTAATTCTCTGGCTAACCCCGAACCAGGCACGTGGGACAACCTGAGGCCACCTGTAACTGAGACCTAAAGAACAGAACTGATACCTTTGTCTTTGCCTGCGCAGGTATGAAAGTCTAGATCTGAGTTTAACTGACTCTCAAACTGCAACAAACAACAAAATAAAGACTCTTGGGAGAAATACAACACCAATCAGTGTCTACATCAGCGTAGCATTCAGCATGCTATGACCTGACTGGTGCACGTCCATGACCAGGGCGTCACTCCAGTTAGGGCACCTGCCTCCTGTCCCCAGGGCCCAGTCTCAATTCCAGCCCTGCTTGTTTCTGACACTTAGTTGGGCTCCCAAACCAGGTGTGTTCTCATCCTACTTCTCCAGTTCCCCCAGGGGCTCCGCTGCCCTGACATTTCCCCAGATGACATTTACTGGTCTCAGTCTCTAGCCAGCCTCCACGGACCAGTCTGCACCTTGCTTGGGAGTCTGGCTTTGGCTCCACCCTCAGAACGGACAGAGCCACACCAGAGAGCTCCACCCCTTGGCGACGGTCACCACCGGGGTGCTGCCCTTCTGGTGTCACCGTGGCAGAGATGCAAACGCTGAGCTGGGTGTGCTGCCACACTGTGTGCTTGTCTGCAGGGACAGGCTGAAGCCGAGCATCAACCCTGACTGAGGCACACCAGGGCTTTGTTGGCTTACCAGAGGCAAACTTCTAGCACTAGCTGATTCAGCATGACCTGGGGAGTGCAGGGGACAGTGGAAGAGCAAGGACTGTGGCAGACGTAACTGGGTGATGTCCTAGAACTGCAACTTCACTTCTCTCCTCTCCAGATGAGGTTCGTGTCTCTGAACCTCACGTGGTGGGTGGGACGGCGAAGTGACAGGATGACGTGAGGCACAAGCACAGCACCTGGCCAGCTGCTCAGCGAGTGCCAGTCCCTTTCCTCCTGTCTCCTGTTCCACCACAACATCCAAACAGTATTAGGTCAGTTAGTTGGAGGGGAGGTGTGCTGGCCTGACCAGCTGGTCACCATGGCTGGCCCCTCTGCTTATATCTACGCCTTGGTAAATAACAAGACGGGGCCCTCCCTGGTGATGCAGTAGGTTAGGACGCAGCACTGCAAGCTGGCCACAGCCGCCTCAGTACGAGTTCGATCACCGCCCTGAGGTGACCCCACATGGCGCGGCAGACCTCTCCTGACCCGCCCGCAGCTCCCCTCAGCAGTGTACTTCGTCGATCTGCCTGTTCAGCTCCCCAATCTCTCGGTGAATCCTCTCGCTGCTTCTGCACCTCTGGCTTGTACCCCAGTTCTGTATGCGCAAATAGATCTTTAAAAAAAATAAAAAAGGAAACAGATGGGGTGCTACCGGCCGGTTTGTAGTTTGAGTTTTCTTCGGGGGCGACTCTTCCTTTACTGGTCCCGGCTTTGGCTTTTTGACCTTCCGTTTTAGCTCATCTTCTTCCTTTTGCCGCTCAAGCTCCTGCTGCAGCTTCTTCTCATGCATTTCCTTGGCCAGTCTCTCCAGCTCCCTTCATCAAACCAGGCAGAGAAAACAAGTCAGGGAACCCAGTGCCTGGGCATGGAGCAGAGCTTTCTTGGGTATAATAAGAACAAACAGAAGAAGCTGGGTGACTAGGAAGGAAGGAAGGAAGGAAACCAGGAAGGAAGGATGCATTTGAAGGAGGAAGGGAGGCGGGAGGAGAGGAAAGAAGGACAACCGGAGGGAGGGAGAAAAAAGAGGGAAAGACAGAAAGGATGGCTGGCAATCTACTCTGGGTGGCTAATTCAGCAAGTACGGATGAGTTAAAACTCAACTAAGAGGAGTTCTCCACGAATCTGTAATTCTACTCCAATCTCCTTTCTCAGGAGCACAAAACAAGACGGACTGTAAGTTTGATGGACAAGATGTGTTAACTGGCCCTGTCCTGAGGTCATCTCCCCAGCAATCCCACAGTCATTCTTGCCCTCTCAGAGGCTGGCCTGTTCCCCAGGGGAACCACTGCTGCTCTGGCTGGCCCTCCCTGCCCACCTCTTCTTCCGCTCCTGGAAAGCCCGCTGAACCTCCCGATTGAATAGGATTTTTTCTTCCTCTGTCAATGCATCATATTCTTCCTCGTCCATATTTTGGAGACGCTCTTTCTCTTTCTGAAGTGCTTCCTGCTGCCTGTTCTCTGTGGGGGGGAACAGACAGGAAGGTGAGGAAAAGTCACCAGCTTTTTCTGAATGGGCTGCGGGAGGTCTGTGAGCCTGGCATTGCTGATCTCTGCCGACTCCCTTCATTCCTGCAGTTCCAAGCTCAGACACCACAGTGGCCCCTGAAGAGGTCCCTATCCTGACCCTCATCACCCAGATGTTACCTTATGTGGATATGACTAAGCTGGGGCTTTGAGCTGGGAGATTATCCTGGGTGACCCGAGTGGGTGCAACATAAACAAGTGTCCCCGCAGGAGAAAGGTGGGAGGTTCAGTCGGAGATGACGTGCAGATGAGACCAGGAGACGAGAACGCAGGCGCCCCTGGAACCCCCAAGAGAACATGGCCTGCCCAACACCTGACTAGAAGGGCTTCAGTGGTATAAGATTCTGGGTTATAGGACGTTAGGAACCAACAGCAGGTTGTCAGAACAGCCACAACACACTTTTGCATAGACAACCTAGGAAAAATACTGCTGACTTTTCTGCACCTAGCACACTGCCTGCAGGCTCACAGGGCCTGCGAGATCCAGGGCCTCAGCTTCCACACCCTACAGACTGCGGGTTTGGCTGGATGGTGGCTCGCACTCAGCACAGGCACTGGGCTGTGTCTTCACACCTCACTAGCACAGCATTCTCACTTGGCATTCGCATCAGTTCGTGCTTGACACCTTATCCGTGCTTTCCTAGGCAATAACTAAGAGCTGGTGACAGGCACGAATAAGAATTCCTCCTGCGCAGGGTTCCAGGCACCTGGCCCACTGCTAAGTGTCCAGTAAACACTAGCCTTTAACGGAATGATAATGTGCACTGCAATGTGCCCAAGGACTCGTCCCAGGGATAATGGCCGAGGGAGAAGAGCCCAGAGAGCCCCCCAGAGTTACTTTAATCCCAAGGCAGTTGACAAAAGCAAAATGTGATACTTTCTTTTTTTTTCCAAGTTGGCGATTATGGGGGAAATGATTTTTCTGGAAAACTGGGAAGCTGTAGGTTGAAATGCTCTTGGGGAGACCTGGTTCTTCTTCCAGAATTTCCTCTAGATGAGAGGAGTTCAGGACAAAGTATTCGAGCTCTGTTTAAGAACTAAGGGACCCCAGGGTTTGTAAATGTTTCCTTCTGTGGAAAAGCATTACGATTTGTGCAGTCTGCTCCAGAAGCGTGCAAAATGTCCAAGTGAGCAAGTGAGTTGGTGGTCAGAGCTAAGGCAGGATGGGCTCTGCCTCCCTGGGACAGTGTCACCTCCTCGCCTAAGATCGGCGAGGCCTCCTGACCAAATCGGGAACCTAAGCAACATTACTCTGCATCTATTTTCCCATCACATCTCTTGCAACATGCTTCTGTGGGCCACTGTAGGAACAACAGAGAAAGCACGCGTGTTAGTCATGCAGGTCTTGCTAGCTTGCTATGTGAGCTGACTCAAGCCTTTGTAAACTGGGGACCATGATCTTCATAGGGACTCTGCAAGGGTCAGATGACGCAGATTAGCACTGGAGACAATGTGTACAGAATGGCCGTGGTGTGCAGGCTGAGTGTAAAAGTTTATCAACATCTTTTCTCTTTTTATTTCAAGCCTGAGAAAGTCTTGTTTTACTGAACGACCAATGAACATAATTGTCTGGCCGTTATGAACAGACAAGAGAGGGGAGGAGCTTTATTCTTTGGTCTCCTTCTTGGTCAGAGCCGGGATGATCTCCTTTGTGGCAGGGAGCCACTTCTCACCATTTCACGTTCTTCCTCGGTCTCGGACCACAGCCCTGTCACCTTCCGTTTGTGGGTGTGGACGCGAGGATCTGTTTGCTCCGTCACACATTCCTCTTTGCTTCCCAGTTCCGGCTGCGAAGAGGCGTCAGCCTTTGGAGACTCAGGGGACCTTCCAGGTAGCCGAGGCGGAATTCCGCTCCCGTCCAGGTTGCCTTCTAGGCATTCAAGTGCTGGAGATGCCCTTCTGCTTCCCCACGACTGCAAGCCTCCCCTTCCTGCGGGCCAAGGCTTTTTTCCAGCCTTGAGCCTGAGACTGGACAGGCACGGTGTCTGGATGGTCAGGCCATCCTTTATCAGCTTCTGCTGTGGGCGTTCACCCTGACTTGGGTGACTTCATGTGTCCACGTGGGTGCAACTGGACCTCGTTTTCGCCTCCATGGAAGACACTGGAGTCCTCTCCTAAAACCCGAGTGCACTCATGGCCATGCCGTCACGCCAAAAGGGGCTACCAGCACCTCCAATGTGACAGAAATGCACGGTGGATATGTGGGCGCCTGAGTCGGCGGGGGTGGGGGGATGTGCTCCCCTGCGGTGGGCTGTGATCACAGAGCAAGTGAAGGGCCAAAGGCTGTGAAGTAGGGAAGAAGTATTGTACCCATTGTCAGAAGAGCTGGGCTCAGCCCCACTCCACGACCTCTCTGCAGGTCACTGTCTCAGCCCGCCCTGGGCAAAGTAGCAGCAAGACTCGCCACCCGACAGAGCCGAGGGCGCTGCCAACAGCAAAGGCACGAGTTTCCTTGAGGTCCAGCATGCTCCCAGCCCGAAGCCCTGGTGAAAGGAAAGACCTGGAAGAAGGGCCTTACCTTCTTGCTCCTTCTTGGCTTTCTCCTGGGCTTTCATAGCTGTGTAGTCCTGGGCCATGTTGAGAACGTAGATGTGCTCCCGGTTGCCAAGGGCCTTCAGCAGGCAGAGGAGGGTGGAGGTGGTGCTCCGTGAAAAGAGCGTGTCCAGGCTGTCAAACACCACGCCCCGGTAGCAGTCGCTCAGCTGAAGCAGAGAGAGCAAAGTCAGTGAAGCCGCCCCAGGCGCCTCCTCCCTGCGCAAGGCTGCTCACTGTGCGCGGTGCTCATATGGGCATCGCAGCCGGACCTGCAGCCCTGGGGGGCCCGGGAAGTACCTGTATGCGCTCAGCCAGGATCTGCGTGAACAGCTCCTCGGGGAGCACACAGCTCATGAGTCCTGTCTCTCCCCCGATGCTGGCGCTGACGCTGAGGCGGCGCTGCATGGGCCCTGAGGGCAGAGGGCTGCAGGAGATCTGTGGAGAGGGAGAAGGATCAGGGGTCAGGACCAGCCCAGGGACTCAGGGTCGTGTACTTACCAGCACTGTGACCTTGGGAAAATCACCTAATTCCTCCGGGCCTCATTTCTCGCCGTGTGAAATGGAAGGCTCCCGTCTTCGTTCAAGAGCTGCCTACGTCCTGAGCCACCCACATCACCTCACTCACTCAGCAGATACTTCCTGAGCAGCTCCTGGGCACAGGTATACACCAACACGCCAGGCTGGCTATGCTGCTGCCTGCGTGGCCCAGACATTCAGATGACTCTCTATGACCGTCCAAGTCTCCCCTCGGCCCTCGAAATCCTGCAGATTCCACCCTTCACGTTCCTCTAGTGTAGGGTGAGCTACAGCTCTCTCCACTGGTTATGGAGTTCGCAGTGGCTGCATGCTGGGGATTTCACATGGCTCAATCTAATTCTGTGTCCACGCTTCTTTTGTTGCTAATCTCATTTTACGATAACATTTGAAGGTGCAGTTCTCTCCTGAATCAGACTTAATGAAGTTCTAATGCAGGGGCTTTGTTTTATGTGCCGTCACTCGCCCAGCCTAGTGCCTGTCACATAAAAGGTGCTGTGGGCCCTCCTTGGTGGTGTAGCAGGTTGGAGCGCCGCACTGCGAAGCTAAGCCAAACTGTGGCTGCTTCAGTGCGAGTTCGATCCCTGCCCCGGAGGTGACCACATGGTGTGGCAGACCTCTCCTGACCCGCCTGCTGCTCCCCTCAGCAGTGTACTTCGTCGATTTGCCTGTTCTGCTCCCTACTCTGACTCTGGTGAATCCTCTCACTGCCCCTGCACCTCTGGCCTGTACCCCATTTCTGTGTGCATAAATAAATACATCTTTAAAAAAAAAAAGGCGCTGGCTCCACAGCCGCTGGAGGAGCTCCCTGCGTGGGGGCAGGGAAGCAATGATGCTCCAGCTGCACAGAGAGTGCCCAGGGATCACCTGCACCTGCAGACAGGAAGCTGCGGAAGAAGAAGCACCCCGGTCTCCATTGGGGGACCCTCCATAGGGTGTACCTGTGGGGTGTCAGACGAGTGTGAGTGGTGCTTCTGAGAGCCAGAGGTGTGGATCTCTGTCTTGCCTTTGGGGAGCACCATGCTCCCACGCAGAGTTTTTCCAGGTTTAATTTCTGGGAGCACCAGAGTAGTCTCCGAGGTTAGCTTGCCCAGGGTCTCGCCACTCAGGCCTGGCTGTCCCACAGCAGTTTGTCCCGAACCTGCCTCTTGGGCTGCATGGAAAGAGTGGGTTTATTAAAAGGCGCCTCAGGGTCACAAATCATAGCTGGCCGCAGGATGGGATCTTGCGTGATGCTCTTCAGGAGCACAGAGCCGTGTCCCTCTGCGGCCGCCAGGGGGCGACGCCCACCGTCCTGGGAGGCTGGATGCGGCCAGTCAGTGAAGAGATAGGTCTGGAGCCCAGGGCACTTCACAGTCAGCTCCCCACAATCTCTTCCAGCCTGGGGGTGATCATGCTGTACGAGGTAACCCTTGGGCTGCCCTGGAAGCCCAACACCGGCCAGCCGTGGCGTAGGACAGTGCCAGGAGCAACATGCCCAGGGCAGCCCCTGCTCCTGGCCATGCCTGCTGGCAAATGTGAAGTCCAGATGATTTCCCCTCCTTTCCTCCACCCAACCTTCCAGTCAAGTGGAGAAACTCACTTGGTCCTGACAAGTTCTTTTCAGGTTGATGCGGTTATTTAAAAGGGTTTCCCAGACAGCAGGTCATAAAAGCCCTTGCAGGGTGTCTTTAGCCTTCACCACGAGCGCCTTCACCCCCAACCACAAAGGCAAGGCCTACCTCAGGGGGCCTCCGACCCTCCTACTCAACGAGGATGGACCAGGTTGCTCCAAGGAGAAACGTGGGGTACAACAGACACAGAGTGGCCTGAGATGTCGGTACAGCTATTTCTTGGCTACCCCATTTCCCTAAGCGTCCACACAGAGGTCCCAAAGGGAGGACATACCCCTGAAAGTCCCAACCCGGGTTACCCGCCGTGGGCGTGGCGCACTGCGGCAATGGCGCCATGGAGTGATCCCGCTCTGATAACTCTGACTCACGCGCAGCCTACTTCCAGTACACTGAACAGTCCTCTTGCTCCCTAAGTCCCTGGGTGACCTACAGGGTCTCACGTCCACAGGGCTCAAAACATTAATTTGCCTTGCAGCAACCTCCCCCCCCCCCCCTTGTTCCCTTGGTGATGACGCTGGTCTCTTCCAGCTCTTCCTAGTGAGACAGGTGAGCGGGCGTGGGACGCTGCCCACTCCTTCTGTTCCCTGGCCCTGGGGGACTCCGGGGTCAGCCCTCAGTCTCATTCACCTTCAGCTCCACTACTGCTTCCTTTATAGGACACTGCAAGGGCTACTCTCCTTCTGTGACAACTGGACTATTTCTCCCATAGGAGACAATCTCCCGGCTGCTCCTTTCCTTCTAAATAAAACCCAAATGACTACTCTTGTCATTGGGGTCAACTGTGACTGGCTTCAACCTGCCTTCCTGCCTCTAACTTATCGCCAGCCTCCCTGCTTTCTTAAGAGGTCTAGGGTGTCCTTGTCCCCATCTTTGCCCATCAACATTTCTCTGCTCTTTCAAGGCCCAAAACATGCTTTTTACCCCAAATTGGCTCAGAAGTCAGTTATTCCATTCCACCATTTGTTTCCTCTGTGCTGAACGAACATGTCTGCCCCCTTCCAGGTATCACCCCCAAGTGGACACTGCCAAGGTGTGCCTGCCTGGGACAGCTGTCTGTGCATGGGCAGAGACCCCTCCTCCTGGCATCCTTCAACTGCGCTGGGGGAGAAAGGGTCAGTGGGCAACAGGGCTGCTGGGTGCTGCCAGTGATGGCACTGGTCATGGCACCCAGGAGTCAGGCGCTTACTAGACTCATCTCCTTCCTTTACGGACTGCTCGATGGCAGCCCTGATGCAGAGCTCCCGGGCTCGGATCCCTGGCACGTTGTTACTGTCGGAGATGGCCTCCAGCATGATGGAGTCGATGTTCAAGCAGGCTGCGTTGTAGTACTTGGCCGCGCTCACAGCCGTGGCAGACTTTCCTAGGAAAAGCGAGGGGGTTGCATTTCGTGACTCATTTGCTTGTTGCTCGAGGCTGAAGCCCAATAAACAGACCTCTGTGTCTCCACGTCCCTCTGGCGTAGGCGGCAGCAAAGAAGAGAGGGAAGAGCTGAGCCGGGAGTCTGGACCTTGGATTCTGGCCCTGATCCTGCCACCCACGGGCCGTGAGCGTGTGGCAGCCCACATCCTCTCTGGGTAGCCCCCTCAGTTGGAAAAGTGGTTCTATCATGTGGTCTTTAAAAATTGTGTAGGTCTCTAATGGGAAGACTATTTTGGTTGAAAGAATAACTTGTGTTGACTTTTCAAATCATTTCAAGATGCCTGCTCAATAAGAAGGAAACTCAGAAGTAACAGAAAAAACAGGGGAAAATCCATAATTTACTCATCCAGAGAGGTGATAATAGCACATGGTTGGTAAGTGTATTGCTGAGTATGCTTTCCCCCTCTATTCCTTATAGAAAAGAAACAGGCTATATAATATGAACACTTCCTAGCCCATGGGATCTGTGAAGCTGTCACTGTACTTGGTAAAGGGGCTTGGCAGAGGAGACTGAGGTAAGGATCTTACTGTGGGAGATCACCCTGGATTATGTGGGCGAGCTGGAGGAAGGGTCCTTCTACAAAAGAGAGGCAGTGGGGTTAGAGTCGGAATAGGGAGTGGGATGAGGAAAGCTGAGAGACACCGGAGATGCTTCGATGCTGGCTCTGAAGGTGAAGAGGCCAGGAACCAAGGCGCGAAGGCCACATGTCTAGCAGTACAAAAGGCAAAAGAATGGAGCCTCCCAACAGCCTTCAGGCCACAGCAGCAGCAGCGGCTGACCCATTTTACACTCTGACATTTAGACTCTGCATTGCTTTAAGTCACTAAGTTTGTGGCTATTTGTCACAGCAGCAGTAGGGAAGTAATACAGATACAGATCACAAGTATGGTGTTTTTCTTTTAAAGTGAGATACGTCATGATCATCTTTCTCTTCGGCCATTTTTTAAAAACATGGCAATATATATATAAATTTTATCATTTTATTCATTTTCAAGCTGCAAACATATATGTTCCCATCATGTGCAGACATCAGCATGGTCCAACTCCACACATTTTCACCTTCCCAAGTGGAAACTTTGGACTCAAACAATAACCCCTCAGTTTTGCCCCCCGCCCCAAGGCCTTGGCAGCAGCCACTCTACTTTCTGTCTTTAAGAGCTTGACTATTCCAGGTACCCCACAGCAATGGAATCATGTGGTAACTGTCTTTTTGTCTCTTTTTTGTATCACCAAACAGAATGTCTTCAAGGCTCATCCATGTTGTGGCATGTGTAAGAATTTCCTCCATTTTTGAGGCTGTATAGTAGTCCACTGTGACACATTTTGTTTACTAGTTCATCCACCAACAGAGGGTGGACTATTTCTACCTAATGGCTATTGTAACACTACTATGAACACAATGTACAGCGCACTGACTTTAATGGCAATGGAGTTCCAGTCTGTAATGAATAAACTGTGGTTTCTTCTATCAATTTCTCGTATCAAATGCCTCAATAGCTCCCAATATTTGTGTTAAGGTAAACAATGCTGCAGTAAATGTTTAAGTGGTTCAATTTTATCCACATCATTTATTGTTTTCCTAACTTGAGGTAAAGCTTTAGAATACTGCCAAAGTGTGTATATGTACTTTCACCTTCTCTTTCATATAATGTAATGACTTAGACTTGCTCTAATGTTTTAAAGTTATTGAAAACATAGACAAGCAACATAGAGACTTCATTTTAAAAATGAGGGAGCCACTGCTCTTTTTCTAACCCTGTACCTCTGAGGTTGGCAATTTAATAGTTTGTGGGGAATCTTTTGATATGCAAATTTCTTTTTTTATTGCCTTAAAAATTACATGTGTGAATGTTACCACCAATCCCAAAGAGGCAGCCCCCGGAGTCAGCCTACCTGACAAGGGGGTCCCGTGGATGATAATGGCGATGCCTTTCCGGTTCTTGGCCATGCGGCCTTCTGAAGAAATGTCAACGCCCAGGTAGCGAGCGATGGCCTTGTTCACGGGGTTATTCTCTACTTCCCCAACCTCCTCTACCGACTGGCTCTCGATGCTCTGTAACTTGTCAGCTACAAATTAAAAAGAAAGTGTGTGTGTGTGTACACTCATGTGTGTGGGGTGGGTGGGGTGGGGGGGGGACACACCCAGGATTCACATGGTTCTGAAGGGAACAGGGAAGACTTTTTCTTTTCAAGCATTATTTCAAATGACAAACATCTGTCTTAAGTGCTGCTGCACCCCACTGCCCCCACCCCAGCCCCTCTAGTGTTCAGCAGTGCTCCTCTGGCTGATACTCAGCTAACAGAACCTAAAAGAATGTTATTCTCTGACTCTTGATTCCATTTTGGGGAATCTCTCCTGCTGAACATAATTTTGGGAACTGGCTGGATTTGCAACATTGAAGGGAATGGCCAAGAAGTGGCCTGGTCACGCTGCAGAATGAATACACAGTAGTGCCAGTGCCTCAGAGGGGCACCTTATGGAGAAGGGTGAAAGGGCAATGGGCCATCTTCCACTCCCGCTGCCAGGGAACTGGCACCGGCCTTTGAAACAGTTTGGTTACTTTGGAACATTATTTTCTCCAAGCTCTCCTCATCCTCCTCTTCATCTGGGTAGGTTTTGGAGTCAGTGTTCAGGACATGCCGCTCTTCTATGTTGGAAGTGACAGAAATGCCTCGGCTGATGGACGTCCTCTTCGTGCTGGCGGAGGTGCCCTGCTCTGACAAGGGCGATTCTTCCTCTTCTGTCAGGAAGCAAGGATGGAAACACACGAGAAGTTGTGGGGGGCAGTGATGAGGAAGATAGGGGCAAAGGAGGAAAGAAAGGGGGAGAATCACTCAAGGGCTGATGATCACTTGGACTGGCTAATGCAAATAAACGGGAGCTGCCATCCTTTGGCTGCCGAGAAGTGTCGGCACAGTGTTCCTCCACTGGAACTTAGAAAATACTAAGGTCCTCCCTGGTGGTGTCGGGGTTGTCTCAGCACTGTCACGCTATCACCACTGCAGCACAAGTTTGATCCCCAGCCAGGGAGCTGACCCCCATGGCACAGCAGACCTCTCCTGTCTCACCCTCTGCTCCCCTCAGCAGTTTGTTTCTGCTCCCCACTCTGTCTCTCACTCGCTGTACCTCTGGCCTACACCCCAGTTCTATACAAAGAAAAAGAAAAGAAAAACAAACATACAAAAGCAAGGTTAACTTATATGTCCAGAAAGCTCAGGAAATTCAGAAGAGCAAAAGTATAAAATTCAACAGTAAAAACAGACACATTAGAGGGTCCTCCCTGCACCTCCCTGGTGGTGCAGCGGGTTAGAGCACAGCACTGTGAAGCTGGCCACAGCCGCTTTAGTGTGAGTTCAGTCCCCGCCCCGGAGGTGATCCACATGGCGTGGCAGACCTCTCCTGACCCGCCCGCTACTCCCCTCAGCAGTGCTCTTTATCCATCTGCCTGCTCTGCTTCCCACTCTGTCTCTGGTGAATCCTCTTGCCACCTCTGAACCTCTGGCCTGTACCCCAGTTCTGTATACATCAATAAATAAATCTTTAAAAACAAAAAAGCAGACACATTGGTAACATATGGTAACAGAGGAATTGCAGTTGAATTCATGATGCCTTCATAGGAGAGAGAGTGGCGACCTTGCTGGTTTCTCATTTTAAAAAACAGACTGGAGATATTGATTCGCCCTCAGTTTTCAGGAACGTTTCTTCATACCACTGCTCAGGTCATCTGCCCTCCCAGTTTGAGAGTGGGCTGGACTGTCACTGAACAAGAGGACTCCTCCCTACCTGAACCCACACTGTGGTGTATGAGGATAGGACAATAATATGGGGACAAGATGGCCCTCCCTGGTGGCGCAGCGGGTTAAAGCACAGCACTGAGAATCTAAAGCCACTTCCGCATGAGTTCAATTCCCGCCTGCCCT